GCTCCTATTGTGTGTTGCTGTTTCTGAGCCCTTGAATAGTAAGCAGCACACTGTCCCCTGTACCCCATCTCCCCTGATGTAGTCCATCTTGTCTCCCCATCAGCCTTTTTTTAGTCCTAGTTCATGCACCTCATTTAATCTTGTGCCTCAGCTGCATTAGGTTGAATGTGTGTGTGATTTGCGAAGCATACACCCGGCACACTGTGTGAAGGTGGGCCACATCCTTTCAAGTGTTGGTCTGTCATGCTGCATCGCACCGCAGCCCTCTAATGTTTCTTGGAATTCAAGAATCCAGGGGAAGCCCCAGTGGAGTCCCCCATGGATGATCTCTACATGGCTGGCATGGTTATGTGTGAAGCAGTTGACATGGATGGCCTCCTTTCCTGTGTCCAACAGGCTGGTCCCATTGTGGACCCCGTTTGGTCTATAGAGTCTTCTCCCCGCCTTTGTTTCCAAAGAAGTTGGAAGTAGCCATCCCTGCACAGCCCTTCCAGGATGCTCACCTGTGCTTGGTGGTTGCATGTATGCCTGTGAAAGCTGCCCCCCCTCCCCTTGCGTCAACTCAAGTGTCATGGAAAAATAGGGGAGGACCCACCTGGTCATGCTTTTTATTGTGGATGAATGAGTGCAAATGTACAGTCTGTTGCCCAAATGACACTTGACCCAGTTCCTCACTGCAATTTTTCGCTCAGTTGGGACCCACGTGATCATCACTTCGCCTGCCCAACATTTGCCTGCCTTCCCCCGACCTGCCCTGGCTCCCTCACAGTGGCCCGTTTGATGTCAGCATATGTTTGCTCAAGTTCGTGTGTAAAGGCAATGTGTAGCCAGGAGTCCAAGTGTAGGGTACTCTTCCCTATTGTCCCAACCTCCCTTCTCCCGAAAAAAAAAAATTTGTTTCCTTTATCTGTCAAGTGCCCGTCACCTTGCCCAGCTGCCCAGATGTGTGTCAGTTTCTTGGCTACTCTCTTGGCTACCGGTTTAAGGGGTGGGGGATCTTTATGGGGCTGGGCTGCCCGTCACCAGGCGGTTGCAGGTGATGAAAAGGTTGTGTTAGTTGATGCCCTGGTCTTTTGAGGAAGGCTCAGAAGTGTCGGGCCAGGTGCCTGCCCCTCCAAAAAGTACTCCCTGATTCCAGATAGCCATGGGTTATGCGGTGATTCCTTGGAGGGGGTGTGTCTGTTTCTGCAGTTTTCTGGAGGGC